CTATAGTCCTTTGCGTCAGCCCCCAGATCTGACCACCTTGGTTAATTTGGAAGGGGAAGACGCAGTATAATTAGCCCAACAACCGAGTTCCCTGGGAATGTACTCTAGTATTGCTAATGTCACCAAGGTAATTTGAGTATTGACTTACAGAGAAATAGTGCGACTGTGGTAATATCAAGCAAATCAGCTACAGTAGTATTGTGCAAGACAAGTTGCATATTAACATACCATAAGCCCTAATTAGGTACTACCCTTAACTATAGAGAAGAAATCCACAACTATGGCATAAAAACCCAGGTACTGACTTACAGTTAATATGTACTAAGTGCTAAATGCAACAGCTATATTTCTGCTAATAGTAGAAAGGAATTGAACAGTAATTTTACAGAGTTAACTATACTATTAGATGTATGGGGTTTGGAAATGGGAGAATGCAAGAGGGAAAATTTGAAACCATAAATCATAAGACTATGAAAAGGAGAACAGAAAAGGGTACAGAGGATCCTGCTGAGGAGTAGAAGGATCTTCATAGATTTAGGTAAAGGTAAAAGAAAAATCTGATAAGAAATAGAAGATAAAAGGAGGAGAAAAATTATGTAGGGAGTAAAAATGATAAAGAATTAAAGGGAGAAAAATTAAAAGTAAAATGAAGAGGAAAAAAGAAGAATGAAAAAGAAATAAGCAGGAACAAAAGAAGATCCTCCAACCCCCAAAGAAATGGTGAAGAAGAAATGAGAAAAGGAAAGAAGAAAAAAAACAAACAAAACAAAAACCAAAAACACTCAAAAACAAACAAAAAAAAACCCCAAACAACAAACAAACAAAAATTTCTATGATTTTGAATATGTGGTTTTCTTTCGGGGGCTACAGTTTTGGGGTAGTGTCCAAATCAGGACGCATTCCTGCTCATGCTGGTGCATAAGAAAGCCAGCGTACCCTAGATTTGTGCTGCATACAGGCACCGGCAGGAAACAGCATCAGGACAAGGCCTGTGAGTCAAATCCAGAGCAACTCAGGCGGAGCCTGGCCTCTGGCGGTGGGGGCAGGGCCCGTGTCCTGTAGCTCCAACCCCGCAGGACGTCTCCTCCAGCCTGACCGCGGCTTCTGATCACAGCTGTCTGCCATAGCTGTCTCTCACCCAGTCACTGTGGGCCTGAATTGGAGGTATGCTGTGGTGGTTTGAGTCCTTGGTACAAACAATCAACCCTTCCCAACCAAGCAGTCTCCAGGCTTTGTGGTGCGTAAACTGGAGTCACCAGCTGTTGCCTGTGGAAGGATCCCTGTGTTTGCTATCCCTGCAGCTACAGAACCCAGCATCTTGCTCCCTGAAGACCACTGGAATCCCCAGCTTCTACTTTGTCTCTACAGATTCGGTCTCCTGCAAGCCATGAGCGAGGAAGGGCAGATCATCCCCTTCCTTGTCCGTGCAGTGTTCTGCCTCTCCAGTCTCTCTGTAGGTTTCAGTTTTTCTGCCAGTCCTCTCCTGGTTCCCGTGGATCTCTCTGCCCCACCCCCTCACTGTCCTATCCCAAGTTGTTATTTCCCTGTGTCTGGATTTGAATCTCAGGCTGAGTTGTTACTTACCTGTCCATCATTTTCTCAGAGGTTCCTCACTATTATTTATTAAGAACTTTCTGCAAGTCAGGCTTTATGCTAAGGGTGAAAAACTATAGCAATAAACATAAACCCTAGGGTTCTTTCCTTTATAATTTAAAATTTTGTGCACCTATCTTTTACCCATGCTTTAAACATGGTGCTTTCCTGAGTTCCAAAGGAAATCGTTCTTTTTCCTCTACAGTGTGCCCCTGGGTGATTATATATATTCCCATGGCCTCATTCTAACAGTGACAACTTTAAAATTCCTAATTCTAGGTACTATTCTTTTCTTTCTTTTTTTTGGTACTGGGGCTCGAACTCATGACATTGCGCTTACCAAGCAAGCGCTTGTCCCCCAAAATTCCTAATTCTAAACCCCTACTTGTTTCCTGATGTGCCCAACCATATGTTACTTTGTCTTTGGGACATCCTTACTTAGATGTACCACAGGCACCTCACATTGAGGTTTTACTAACTCACTAGTTGATCGTGCCTGTAATCCCAGCACTCAGGAGGCTCAGACAGGAGGATTGCTGCAAATCTGAAGTCAGCCTGGGCAACATAGTGAGTTCAAGGCCAGCCTGGAATACGTGACTCAAAACCAGAAACAAAAACAAAAATGCAGAAACAAAAACATGTAACCATGAATCCTTCGGATTGTCTTATTTCAAAAACCTCTTTTATTCTCAGAAAACTTAACTCTGAAAGCCAGAATTTCATATTCTTTTGTGTGAGTCAAAAATAATTATCTGTCACAACAGGTGATAGTGCACCTCTGTATTTTCCGGCTCTCTGGGATGCTGAGGCAGGAGGATCATAAGTTTGAGCCCAGCCTGGGCAACTTATCCTGTCTCAAAATGAAACAGAAAAAAGAGCTAGAGATGGAGGTTGGTGTGAAGGACCTGAGTTTAATCTCTAGTATATATTTAAAAATCATACACATACATGCACACATGCACACACATATATATAAATATATAGACATGTTATATGTGTCTACATACATGTATATGTATATATACTTATATAGGCTTTGTTCTATACTTACTGCTTTTGTTTTGTGGTGGAAACAGGGTCTTGATATGTAGTTCAGGCTAGCCTTCAACTCACTTGTAGCCCAAGCAGCTGGATATGGTGGTGCATGCCTGTAATCCTAGCACTCAGGAAGCTGAGGCAGGCAGATTGCAGTGTTCTAGGCCAGCCTCAACCACATAGTGAAACTCTGTTTCTGTTAAGAAAGCACAGTGCAATCTATTCAATCTATTCAAGGCTGTCCTTGAACACAGTGCTGTCCTCTGACCTCAGTGTCCCAGAGTGCTTGGGACATCAGGCCTTCTAAACTTTTTTTCCCCCCCCCCCTGGAGGCCATAAGTAAGAACTCAATGGAAGGAGGGGAGGAAGAATAAAGTTCAAGAAGAAACTCTGGAGAAAGAAAAATCTTGGATTTTTATCTCAAAATATGACTTTTCCCTGCATGGAGATGCCTTTGAGAAGTCTGGATCGCTACTGATCTCTATGGTAGCTGCTGGCCACCTGGGGCGATTTGGGACTGATCTAAATTGAGACATACAGGGCTGGGGATTTAGCTCAGTGGCATAAGCACCTGCCTGGCAAGCGCAAGGTTGTGAGCTTTATCCCCAGTACCAAAAAAAAAAAAAAAAAAGGATAAATTGATACGTATAGTATGTATAACATATGTACTATATTCCAGACCTGCTACAAAAGAATGTAAAATATTCCTCTAATAATTTTTTATAAATGTTGAGATGTGAGGACATTATGAATCATATGGCTTAAATAAAAATTAATTTTATCTTTTTATCTTTTTAAATGTAGCTACTAGAAAATTTTAGATTAGTTATGTGGTTTATATGGCTGCTCTGTAGCCTAAAACGGTATTGCTCAGTGTAGAAAAGAGTAAGAGAGGGGAGGAAAGAATCTCGCTTTCTGAGGTTATTATTTTTAGTGCTGGGAGTTGAACCCAGGGCCTGTATATGCTAAGCAAGCAATCTATCACTGAACTACATATGCAACCCCTCCAAGTGATGTTACACACGGTATTCAACAGGGGTTGTGAGGCCCAAGCTTTGGTCCTTAGCTTCTTGATTGTTCTTAATACTCCAAGAAAGACAACACAGATCACAAGCAATAATGCCTGAGTAGAGAATACTCATTTCCAGTAACTGGTTTTGGGCATATCCTTGTTAGTGTCACTGTTTCCAGAATATCGTCTGGGTGCAAATTGCCTGGTGAATATGAACCAGATCAAAAGCATGTGGAGAGCAGGGTATTGTGGCAGGCACTGGTAAAAACTGATGACCTATAATGAAACATGCATGCTCAACATCTCCTTTACTTTGGGCATATTTTTCTTGTATTGCTGCCTATGATCCTACTTCTCTTATTAGATGCTATTTTCAAACGATATTCTCAAGAGTTGTAGAGATGGGATATGGATGCACCTCAGTGGTTAAAGCTCTTGCCTCGTGTATGTGAGGCCCTGGGTTCAATCCCCAGCACTGGAAGAAAAAAAATCTATAAACATACTCCTTACAGAAGTTAGCTGATTTTCTAATAGTAATGAAACTTTACTTGTGTTATGCTGTTTTTCACATATTTGGCTAACGTTGACTTGAATCATAATTTCTCTGAATCTCAGATTTTTCATCTTTTAAGGGGATACTGTCCAAGTCATATATTCTATCTGATCAATGTAAAAATTATTTGAAAGCCAGAGACTTCTCTACAACTCTAATGAAACACTTGAGTGTAAGCTACTAGGTTGCAGGTGTCAGCAATGAATTGTTCCAAGCAAGGGAGAAACTTTGGGTACCTTGACTGTAGATACACAGATATGAAACTGAAAAGAAGGGATTATTTGGAGCTTTAAAGCATACAATACACACTAGTGCCTGTCTTAGTTACTTTTCTTATTGCTGGGACAAAATCCTGGGCACCCAAAGTTAAAGAAGGAAATGTTTATTTAGCTCCCAGTTACAAAGGTTTCAGTCCATGGTCAGTTGGCTCCAAGACAAGGTAGCATGGCAGAGAGGCATCACAGAGGAGAAATAGTCCATGGCAAGCAGGCCAGAGACAGCGGAGGAGCAAGCAGCAAGCTGCAAGCAGCAGAAAGCCTGCCTTCTTCTGTCCCTTTATGCAATGTGGTGTACAAGCCTATTGACTAGTGCCCCACATTCCCAGGTGGGCTTCCATTATCCACGTGCTTAATCTCAGCATCACAGCCTTAATCTATATTCAAAGACCCTCATCTGGCCTCCTTTTAAAGTTTCCACCTATGACTGTATGAGACTTGGAGGGGATATCTATATAGCAGCTGTTAACAGTAGCTAAACAGGCGATATTATTGCTAGGATGATAATAATCTTTTTTTTTTCTCTTACTAGACCCAGAATATGGAGCTGGCATATACTTCATTGGGAGCCTCAAAAAGCTAGCAGAACAAGTGAAGAAAAACCCTGCCACTGATAAGTGGATCTATGTGTTTGAGGCTGAAGTACTCACAGGCTCCTTCTGCCAGGGTCGTCAACGAAATTTTGTCCCTCTACCACCACGTCCCGGAACCATAGGTGGTTATGACAGTATGGTTGATAATGTGTCCAGTCCTGAAACCTTTGTTATTTTTAGTGGCACACAGGCTATGCCTCAGTATTTGTGGACATGCATCCAGGATCACGCGGGGTCAAAGGAGTATTCATCAGGACGAGGAGAATTTCATATCAGCCTGTCACAATTCTCGGGAGGCAGCTCTGTTGACTAATCCTGATATTATTTTTTGATCCTGATATTATTTGAAGGACTCACATGGCTTTGCTTTAGGGGAAACAACTAAATCATAACCATCAATGACTCCAAGAGTGGTTTGAGTATTGCAAATGGGCTGTCTGTTTGGATTGACTGGGTTACTAGAGAGACCAGCTGTGTAGTAAGATCTTAGTGCCTTCAACCATGCCTGTATTTCCTGGGTCTGGGTTGAACAGACACCAATCAAAACACTCTTGAAACTGTTCCTTTTCTTATTATTTTATCTCTTTTACTGTAGGTAACAGTGAAAAATTTTTAAATGTAATGAAATTTTTCCAGAATAAATCCAAGCCATTTATTTGCTAAATTTATGATGATATAAAATATATGACAGCTTCTAGGGAATTTTATGAAGTGCTTTAAAAATCAAAATAAATTACCTTTGAGTACCTGGCTTTGAAAAAGTATGCTAAATCAAAGACTGAAGCGAAAGCACAGCAAAAGGCCAGTTTACACTTTAGATATAGCTGTATTAAGCAACGCTACTCAGGCATCAGGAAGCCAACAAATATTTATTGATCATGCGAAATCTTTTAGTCACTTTCTGGGTACTAGGTAAGGCAAATGTTATCACAGAGCTCTCAGCTTGAATAATTAGACAGATACAGGCAGCCTCACAATGTGAGTAGGTATAACAAAAGGAGAATCATAGATTCTTTGGAAAAAGTTAAAAGGAGAGAAGGATAATTTAATTGGGATTGGGAAGAGGCCTCCCAAAGAAACAAATTCTGGCTGAGATCGTTGGGTATGTGTTGTACCCCAAAAACGAGACCCCGAGATGTTGTCCAAAAAATGGGGCAAGATGTCTTTAAAGGAAAAAGAAGTACTTTATTTAAGGTGGCACCAGAAGCACAGTAGTGTTGGAATTTGCAAAACTGTGCATCTAGGTTAGGTTACTGGGAGGTTTAAAAAGGAAAAAACTGCAAAGCAAAGGAGGCGCCGAGTAGAAGGAAGGTGAGGAAGGCTTTTGTTCTCTTACTTGGCTTGGGGACAGAGTTCCTTGCTTAATCAGTTATCTTTGTGGGAAGTTTTACAGTTAGTGGTCAGCGAGTGTCTCCTTTATAGGAACTTGTGGCCGGCTCATTCCAGGAACAACTGTCTTTCACAAAAAGGGGGACAAAAGTTGAGACAGAATATAGGTAACTCGAGGTCTACTGATTCTGGGAACAATTGTCCTTCACAAAGGGGGACAAAGGTTGACACAGAATACAGGGTTACCAGGGTGAAGACCCATATAGAACAGAATGGTGGCGTTTTAGTCAGAGCACAACAGTATGTATGTTAGGCAAAGAAAACAGCTCTGATAAAGGGGATTTGGCTCCAATTGGATTCCAAGGTTCTATCTGTAATGTAGAGGCCAGCTAATCTTACCATATACCTGACTTACAAATCCTATTTCCTGTACTTCCAAACTCTCTTGACCTCACACCCTCAACCTCTTGAAATAATATGTCTTTCTCCCTTGTCTTTTTTTCCCCCTGAAGTGAGGTTTCACTATGCAGTTCAGGCTGACCTTGAACTCACTTTGTAGCCCCGGCTGACCTCAAACTCACAGTCATCCTCCTGCCTCAGCTTCACAGGTGCTGGAATTACAGGCATGCGCCACCACACCCAGCTCTTTCTCATACCCAGGTGATGAGTCCATAGGGCTAAGAGCTTAGATCCTGCTCTCCTCACCTGTAAGCCACCCAGTAGGTGCCCAGAACCACATTTCTTGGGTTTCTCCAGAATTATGTCACAGTCTGCATCAAGAATGGCCAACAAGGCTGGGAATGTAGCTCAGGAGTACAGCACTTGCCTAGCATATACGAGGTCCTGGGTTTACTCTAGCACCACATACACAAGCACACACACACACACACACACACACACACACACACACACACAAGCTGAGGGATGATTTACGGCAGTAATAAGGGGCTGAGATGTCCATATGTGTACACATGAGGTCTGTGATACAAAATTGAGAAGACAGAATCTTTTGTTTGTTTGAGACAGGGTCTCACTGTAGTCCAGGCTGTCCTCAAACTCAAGGCAATCCTCCTGCCTCAGCCTCTCGACTGCTGCAGTTACAGGTGTGCCACTATACCTGACCTAAGAGAATAAAATATTTTTGGGGGGGAGGCAAAGGGGAGAGATAACTGGGAATCGAACTCAGGACCTCACACTTGAGAGGCACAGGCTGCGCCACTAAGCAAAATCCCAGGTCCTAACAATGGACTGTTTAAAGTAGCAATAAGTAGTACAGAAAAGACTGAAAACCTGAGTGGTTCGAAGTTACTGTTGAAGCCACAAAAATTCCAACAGAAAACAAAAAGACTAACTGGGCAATAGCCCATACCTGTAATCCCAATTAAAAGACAAACATGAGGATTTCAAGTTTGAAGCTAACTTCAAAGAAAGAAGAGACAGAAACTGACAGACTAGTGTGTATAAAGGGTAAGATTGTTTCTGAACTGAAAAAAGTTCCCAGATTAAAAGACACCCAAGTTGAAAAGAATTTTCTGAAACTCTTTACTAAAACTGGAAACATTTGAGATCTAACTTCAGTTTCATGATTTCAGATTACATCTGTGCTTTAGAACTATTTTCCATGCAGAGAAGAGGTTTAATAGAAGAACATTTCGATGGTTAATTTACAGATACGAATTGATAAGATTATATCCAAAAGATGATAAGTATAAAACAAAAAAGGCCTTTATTCTGAGAACAGGGAGAGAGAAAACCAAACACACACACACACACACACACACACACACACACACACACACACACTGCTGGAGTCCGGCTTTCTGTCTGGCGGACACGTGGCGTGGGGGGTATATAAGTAGCCTCGGTTTGGGGTGGAACCTAAGGGGGCATTAGGGATGCATAGATAGCCCATTGGTCTTTGTTTGGCGCCACAGGTAAATTCCTAGAGGAGGGGAAGATGGAGTCACAGGTAAATTCCTAGGGGTGGGGTAGATAGGAGCTCCTTGGTTCCGCCTCTAAGGCTTCACCCGCTACAGTGTCCTGTCTGGGCCAAAACTCTTTCATGAATGACTTGATTGACAACACTGACTATACATACTAACTGGGTAGGCATTTTGGAGAGCTGGAAATTAATTCCTACAAGCTTAAAAACCTGCTGTGCTAGTAAATAAAATTCTTAGTATTCTATGATCAAACACTGGTTAGAGAAAACCTGGCTGAATGTCATTACTTTGTGCTGATAACAGGGATCAGTACAATGCAGTCAGAAGAGTACAGTTACAAGTAAAAATTAATTTTATGTTTGATTGTACTGTCTTACCATTACATAAAAGAAAAAAAAAAGAGGTTTAAAAGGCTCCAGGCAGTTCAAAGTAGTGTTTATAGAAAAGAAAACAGAGGGGCTGGAGATTTAGCTCGGCGGCATAAGCGCCTGTGTTGCAAGCAGGCAGTCGTGGGTTTGATCCCCGGTACTGATAAAAAGGAAAAAGACAAAAAAAAAAAAAAAAAAAAAAAAAAAGAAAAAAGAAAACAAAACAGAATAAAAATACCCTAACATATCATTTTTTATAAAAGCAACTCATTATTTTTAAGTTAATATAGGTAATATCTGTTTACTGAGTTGCATTTACAGTCTTTTAAAAATTCTTATATGAGTTTTAAGAATGTAGAATAATATGTAGAATATAGCCTATAAAACTTAAGTGTCATAAAATTAAAATAAATTGCTTTACAGAGGGTCAAAATATTTTTTTATCAGTACCAGGGATAGAACTCACGACTGCCTGCTTGCAAGGCAGGTACTTATGCTGCTGAGCTAAATCCCCTGCCCCCAAAATATTTTTAAATTGTTTTATTTTTCTCACATCTTTTATTTACTTAATTGGTACTTCTATTAATTATTACCAGTTGCTATATTTAATTACTTATCGCTATTATTTAAGCAACACATGTATATAGCAGAAAAGAAATACAACAGAATATATAATTTTAAGTAAATATTCTTCATACTTTTATGTTCAAGTAATAACATGTACAGAATTTATATTTATTTATTTCCACAACTATTAGGCAAAAATTTAAAAATCAGACAATTCTAAATGTTAGCAAGATGCTAAAAAGGAGAATTTACACACGATGGAACATAAAAATTGGTACAATACCTTATAAAATAATACAGTAATACCTAGTATATTAGTTTTCTATTGCTGTGTAACAAAGTACCACAGACCTAAGGGCTTAAAACACATTGATTATCTCACAGTTTCTGTGGGCTAACAGTTCATGCACAGCTTAGTTGGTTCCTTACTCTGAATGAAGTATAAGGCAGGCTGCCTTCTCATCTGCAGGCTTCACTGTGAGTGAATCTGCTTCCACACTCTCAGCTTGTTGATGGGATCCGTTTCCTTGTGATTTTATTACTGAGGGCCTTGGCTTCTTTTTGGCTCCCACCTAGGGCTAGCGGCCATCTGTGGTTCCCTGCCACCCTATCACACAGCACTTGAAAACATGACTGCTTACTTCTTTAGGGTCAACAGGGGTACATCTAACTCTAGTCTTCTAAAGCAAAGTCTTAATTAATATAATAAAGTGTCATCATGGAAGTGACATCCCATTTTCTAAGCTATATTATATTGGCTAGAATAAGCCAGGGGTCTCATTCAAGGTGTGGGGATTATACAAAGGTTACTGCAAAAGGGAGAGATCATGGGGAATATTTAGCATTCAGTCTACAACATCTAATGACATTAAAGATGCAGTGTTGACCCAGACAGCTTTGGCAGCCCAAGGGAGCTTCAGCTGCCCTTCCCCTGTACCTCAACAGCCAACAGGATCATTGGCCATCCTTCCCCCACCCCCGGATGACTTCAGCAGCTAAGGGGAGCCTGGGCTGCTCTTCCCTTGCACCTGAAGGACCTCAGCAGCCAACGGGCTTGTGGACTGCCAATGCTCCCCTCCTGAAAGATCTCAGTGGCCCATGAACTGTCAGTGACCCATTCCACTACCTGAAGTACCTTGGTGGGCTGGTGGGAGCCTCAGCAACTCCTTGATCCTACACAGAGAATCTTAGAGGGCCAGTGACAGTGTGGTGAGTTTGCCCTCAAGTAGAGGACCTCAGTGGGTCAACAGGAGCCACAGCAAACTCTCCCTCCAACTTGGGACCTTGGTGAGCCAGCAAGAGTGTGAGTGAGTCCTTTTTCCATACAGAGAACCACAGCTGGGTTGGTGAGAGTGCCAATAAGGCCTCCCCCAACTCAGAGGAACCAGGAAGGGCCTAAGAGACCACCACTAACGCATGGTCCCAGCTGGGGCTCACACTGTTACACAGGTGGATCTGGGGCAGCCTGGAACAGCTTGCAACTACAGTAAAAACAGGAGCTAAAGGTTGCTTACATCAATACTCCTAGGCTAGCCAACC